TGATGGCAAACCGTTTGGGCCGTTGAACAATACAATCTATAATACCGCCTACGATTACACCGACCCGAGGGATGTTCAGTCTTCGCTCCTCACGAATCCAGAGAAATGGGAGCGCCTAGACAATGAGGCATGCATCAACGCTTATGCCACAAATTTCCTGAGCAACCGGCGCAATCTGATACTGTTGTCAAATAATGGCACGAGCAATCCGAACAATAGCGTGCTGACAGTTCAACCCTATTTTTCTGGAGGTGTCAGGCCTTTTGACTGGTGAGTTTTGGCCGTTCAATTTTCACTTCGTCTTCGCCCGCGCCTGCAAGCCTCCAGGCCATCTCAGCCTGACATGATACCCAGGATTTGCACCAAGGATCCCAACATCGTCAACAAAGTTAATGTACCTTTTCAATCGAACGGCGAGCCACAACCGTGCGAAACTTGGGTTTCCAAAGTGGCAGCCATCGCATCTGAATGGCAACCTTACAGTTTCGATGTCCAGTATTGCCTTTCTGAGGTTGTGCCTGAGAGATGCAGCTATAATGGCAACATTCCCATCGTGGCGATTGTTCTGACATGTAATGCTATCAAGATTATGGGGATGCTCTTCGTGGCGTTCCGATTGGCAGACAACCCTTTGATCACGATAGGAGATGCCGTGGAGAGCTTTCTTAATGAAAACGATAAATCGACGGAAGGGTTGTGCTTGCTGAGCAAGAGTGAGGTTGTCATGGCCATGCAGTCAAAGAGGCACTGGTGTCTTCGGGATCATCTGGGAAATGGCAAAAAGAGGGCAAAAATAGCCCGCCTGCGCCCTAAACGTGGGCTTGAGTCCGCCAGCATCAAGCGATGGTCACTGACCACTGGCTTCATGGTCCTTGCATTGCTCGCAGTGGGCGCCTTGCTTGCAGTGGCAGTGAGAGTCATTCACTCCGACGGCCTCACCATCGGCGCCATCGGCTTTGGCAAAGTCACTCCCGCGGGCGTAATCTCCGGTTGGAGCGTCGGGGTCACTGGCTCTCCTCCGTCGAAAATCCTCTCCTCGATCCTCATTGCAAACTTACCACAAACATTATTCAGCTTCTTGTATTTGAATTTGAACGGACTGTTGACAAGTATGTGGCTAGCGAGCGAGTGGAGTGACTTCGCCAAAGAGAGGAAGACTTTGAGAGTGTCGAGGCCGAAGGGGAGCCAAAGAAGCACGCACTTCTTACAATTACCCTACAAGGCTGCCATCCCTTTGATGGTGGCTTCCGGAGTATTGCATTGGTTGATCTCGGAGAGCATCTTTTTAGCGGTGGTTGCAGAGTATACTCCAAATGGGGATCTCTATGACGCTATTGCGATTGCCTCTTGTGGATTTTCTCCGCTGGCCATGATCATGGTGCTTGTCTTAGGAGGGATCCTCCTTATTGTTACATATGGGCTGGCGTTGATGAGATATGATCCATCGATACCGTTGGTAGGGAGTTGTAGCGCGGCCATTGCGGCAGCGTGTCACCAACCGAGTTGGGACACTGATGCCTCGCTGAAGGCTGTGCAGTGGGGTGCTATCCCTGGGATGGTTCACAGTGGAGGGGTCGGGCATTGTGCGTTCAGCAGTGGCGACATCGAGCCTGTACGAGAGGGAAGACAATATGCTGGTACCCCGGACGACAAGCAGAGTCTAATGATCCGTGGAAGGACAATGGGGTAGCGTATTCATATCCCTCTGACTATGTGTTGCTAGATTAATGTCGAGCACGAACGATATCACGACGAGATCCTAGAGCTTCGAGCTGTGGTTATTAGGCCATGGAATAGTTCCCCCGGCAACATGATTTGGCCTATTGTCTTCGTCCTCAATATATATTGAAGGATGTTGTTCACGAGGCTGCCAAGTCTACAAGGCTGAGGATACTCCCCACTCTGATTGGCCACGAGAAATCGTTCCGGCATACCTTCTTTTCATTGTGACGCATATTATTTGTTTTTTTGCTGCACTGCAAAGTTCTTCCCGTGCTTTGGGCCTTCGTTATGCAAACTTTTACTGCTTAAGAGGATACATGGGTCTGAAATCATGACAGAAGCCAGTCTGTTGACCGATGAGCAGATAAATGATCTGCTGTCGCAGGCTGAAGCCCGTCTGCGGGAGAAGTCGCAGACAACAAATGAAGACGAGATAAGTTTGGAGGCCAGTACTACGACGACATTCAGGAAAACGTATGCCTTTCGTATCTCGTGATCTGACTACTCTCCGCTGACCATTGTCTCGTCAGAATTCCAAGACTACGCCATAGCCTGGTCCGATCAACATATATTCACGACAACCAAGGCGTCGCCGAGACCAATGTTAAAGCCGCACTCGAGCGGCAGCGCAGCCTGCTGGCGGATGGGTTGAGGTCCATCGAGGCGCCTCACCAATCCAAGAAAATGGTAAGCGGCTCCTTGCCATGGAAATATTTGGGTTCGCATGAGGAAAATTCATCCCAATTTGTTCTTGACGCAGATCTGCAGTCCATTCTGGCCTGCCCTGCATCCATGAAAGCATTTTATTCATAGTTACTCTGACTATCCCTTTGGTCTTTAGTTCATTTTGCTTGTCATTGTGATTTGTGACTAGAGCTAATGAGAGATAGAATGACCGAACCAGTGCGGGACCTAACTGGTTTGACATGCCGAAGACAAACTTGACTCCCCAACTGAAGCGCGATCTTCAACTTATCGAGATGCGATCAGTGCTCGATCCGCACAGACATTACAAGAAAAATAACAGAAGAGGCAGAGTGCCCCCGTTCTCGCAGACAGGAACAGTCATCGAAGGCCCTACAGAATTTTTCAGTGCGAGAATTAATAAGAAGGATCGGTCGAAGAACTTTGTCGAAGAGGCAATGGCCACCGAGAGAGAAACGGGGCGGTTCAAACGAAAGTACAGTGAGATCCAAGAGACGAAGAGAAGCGGCAAGAAGGCCCACTACAAAAAGCTGATGGCAAAGAGGAGGAAAAGACCTTAACACTGACGGTGCTTGCTAAGTACTCCGTACAAGGATTCATGATGCCAAAGCGCCCGCGGGATACGCATGACTGTCTGCCCGTAAGGCGTTGTTCATGCTTGGCCTGATTGCAGACCCGAGAGAACCATGCACGGACGGCGGTTGTCGCAGCCATGCCAGGCTCCAATGCTTTGCTGGGAGGCCTGCTCCTCTTAAACTTGTTGCGAATCACAAGAAGCAGACGAGGGGCCAAAATACGCGGGACAGGAATGTAGCCGATTGGGAAGTCATGAAGTGCCCCGAGCTTCGCTCAGCACCGCCGCAGGAGATTCTGGTTATCGGCCCCCATCCTGACGAGCTTTGAGAATGGCAAAAGACCGCATCAGGGGGAGCGCGTCGAAATTCTTCTGCCTCGAGCGATGGAAGGACCCTTAAAGACTGAAGGTCAGAGATTGATGATCTGCATCTGGGGGGCTTGGGTCAAGGGCTGACAGGCAAGATTTTCATAGCAACTGCGGTGAGAAGGGAAGGGAGGATTTGGGAACAATTTCACAAAGACCTCACTTTGGGTGCCCTGACGGTTGATTGCATGTGGCAATCGCAATCTACTTTGGTCTACAATATCCTTTCCTCACCTTCGCAGTGTAATTGTGTGCTAGACGATCTCAAGCTTAGTCGAGAAAGGAGTGCTGACTTTATTCGAGCCACTCCTTCTCTCCTGAATTGCCAATCACTGCTGGCGTTGCCACCCCTTTCCGCCTCCTTTCTCAGTGCCTCAACTTGGGCTATGATTATGACAAGTATGTATGATGGAAAAGTGTCAATCCAATATCACAGTCGAGACCGTGGAATCGGGCCTCCGTCCCCACAGACCATTTCTCCCAGTTCTCTCTGCACCAGGCGTCGGTGGCGCCATAGAATCGCCCTCCAAACCCTCCACAACTCAGACTAGCCTAACCGAACTGTCCCAGAAGAATCATCCCTGATCCTGTTTTTGATCGAGGCTATCTCGCTACCGCATCTACCAGACGGAAAGAGATGGCCTGGGACACGTGGATGACGACGAAGTCATTTCGAGCTGCCCGGAAAGAGGACACCGGTGCAAGCCTACAAACAAGTTTAAGAATCCACGGGTCAAGCTCCCCTTCATCATGCAGGCCTGGCTGAACCGCTGCGAATCACCTTCTTGCCCCTACGACGATCCGTATGTCGACTCAGGAGGGCCAGGGCGTGGTGGAAACGATAAGAAACCCTATGTGAGACACGCCATCAAAGCAGGATTGCCGTCAACCAACACAAAAAGTCCACAAGAGGCCAGAACCACGAAGCCTACGCTGTTCTCTTGTGAAATAAACCACCCTGCAGACGCCATGTGCCTTGAGACTTGAGACCTGTGTCCCCCTGCCACCCAGCCGAAAAAGGTTCACACTCCTTGATCAGGCCATACCTGAAAGGAGAAGGGCTCAGCAGAGATGCAGTGATGGCCTGACTGGCATGCGCCCAGGCCTTTCCGTTTGCTGCCGCCGCCGTCGTCTTGCAGGCGTTCAAGCCTCACCTCAGGCCCAATCGCATGAGAGAGGCCTTTGGGTGCTGGGCAGATTGGCCAGTATCAGACCTGCGCCGCGACTCCGCCCCCATTGGCAAGATATCTTTAGCTGGCGCCACAAGGATACGCCCCAGACAAATACTAGACTCCTTCGAGCTGTCGCCAGGCCATACCGCGGGCCAAGTCAGCTATAACCCGAAGGCCTTCTCCAACCGGGTCCCAACCACCGACAAAACGATAGCACGACGATTAGGTCTACGACCTGCCGCTGCAGCACCACAGCTCCCTGAAATCCACCGTTTTGCAAACTGGTCTTTAACCCTGATCACTGCCTTGGTCTGCTCATATTTTGCCAGAATCCATGCGCAATGTGTGCACATGGTGAAGCCTCGTCACGAACCATTGGTAATATACCCTCGATGCCCCTCCTGATTGGAGAAGACCCTTGGGAGCTTGAAATTTGAAACAACTACATATCAAGGACAAACATGAGTTCGGTCCTGCGTCTAGGAAGCAAGGACCGTTCGTCCTTCTTGTTCTTCAAGCGACAGAGCCCCGATAACGCATCGGATCTCTCTTCCGACAACCTCGCCCACCGCCTCCCCGACATCTCACATGTCGACACTCGATCTTTGGCGGACCTATTTGACGAATTTATGACCAAAGAGATCAACGACCTACCTCAAACCCAGGTGCAGCGTCAGGCAACACCGTCTGCCAAGTTGACGAAGGGTATCAAATCTATCTCCTCAACCCAGTCAACCGTTGCTAGGAAAGCGTTGGATACCAAGGTCGACTTTTTGAAAGTTAATATCACCAGGAATGATTCCACAGCGTCATCTTGTTATTCCCAGCCAAGCCAGAGGGATAGCGACTGCTCACCCTTAGTCACAAGACAGTCCTCCAGCTCCAGCTATACCCAGGAGCCCTCATCTGCCGTACAGAGAACCGTTTCCGTAAAACCCAACACAATATCAATCCCCAAACCACTGGCACAGGGATTTTTAGGCAATTTTACGGAATCTCCTGTGAGCACTCAGCCTTCACCATCAAGGGCCAATTCGTCCTCAATCAGGGTCGTATCAGTACCCCCAAACCTGGACAAACCACTTCCACCAGGCCCAATCGACACCAAAAGGGCTTCCACTTCCGCACCGGATCTCCTTCTACGTCAGTCTCCGGCAGAGCTTCCATCTGCGTTCCCGATCCGCTCAACTACGCATTCCTCCACCAGCGTACAGCGCACGTCTTCTCAACCAGGCAAAATGTTTTCCACGAGACGGGGTTCTGACGGAGATGCTGTCGCAGAGCTGCCGGCCTGGTCGTCGAGATCAGTTCGAGAAGCTCGATCGGAGACAACTGCAGCACGTGGCCACCACAGGAACCGCTCAGCATCTGACACGGGAGTCCCGCAGCCTGGACGATCTGTAGGCCAAATGTCCAGACGGCACACGGTCGATATGCAGAAGCTCGCCTTAGCCGCACCTTTTTCTTCTCGCCCCCCTCAAGCAGCCCTAAAGCAGAATCGTCGTCCAATCACTGCAGCGACTGCCGAGCGCGTCATATACAGAATCATGTGCAGCCTACACAGCGCACAAGACCTCCAGGCAACGGCGATGGTAAGCAAAGGCTTTTTACGGACCTTTCAACGGAACGAATCTAAGTTGGTGAGCCGTTTGATCTTCAAGACATCACGAGCGGCTTGGGAGCTTCGACGGAGCATCCTCGCTTTGAAAGGATCGAACGACTTTCTTTTGAAAGATTATCGCCGTGACTGCCGAACCCTCGACGCTTTAAAAGCATTTATTGTGGCTCATTGCAGTTCGAGTTGCAAGCAGAGTACCCTCGTTGGTCTTCTTGGTCAAGATGATACCCGAAAATCTCAGATTGATGATGCATTGTGGCGCATATGGACGTTCTGCACTTTATTTGGAGACTCAGTTGGTCAGTCTGGGCCTGCTCAAACGGAAATCGATTGGCTCAACGGCAGCAGAGCGGCCAACAACAAGCAGCTAGGTGCTGGGTTCGCAATTGGCAATGGGAAAGGACTTATGACTCACGAACTTGAAGATATGAACGAGATGTGGCAGTGCTTGCAAATTCTTGTGTCGGGTTTCCGGGGTCGAGAACATGAAGCCAAGCGATATGGAGTCTTTGACAATTGGCACTTGCGAGAGACAACTTCGGAGTCGCAGCACCTCGCAGAGTGGACCTCGTACCTCCTCGCCCTGGGGCCCCAAACTGTTCTCTCGTTATGCAGTTGCTCGTTCGAACAGGCAAAGATGCTCGGCCTGACAAACTGGCCTGTTCCACCCGCAGGTCAAAGTCGGACGTCTTTCTTAACGACGGCAATTGCCCAAGTCTACCAAGAAAGAGTTCTCGAAGACGCCACTCGGAAGGCTGCACGAATGTCGATGCGCCAGATGCCAGGACAATACTCAGTGCCTCGAGCCCCGACCCATCACCCAACCAGATCTCTCGATGAGCACCTGGCCTTCTTGCCTTCCACGCGGGCCACGATTCAGTCACAATCGCTCCGAATTGATACCTCTAGCCAGAAGAGAAGACCGGTCTCCACAAATGCTCTTGCAGGTGTACGAATGGAGATACGCCCAGACTGTGATCCTGCGAATACTCGGCAAGAGACCCGACCAGATTGTGATCCTATTTCTGGGACAAACCTGCCTTCCCACCTACTTCCGACGTCGCCCACAGCAGATCCGACAGTCTATTATTCGCTTTCAATGACTTCAACAGCAAGCACCAAAGTCGGGGCTACATTATTCCCCATGGACTATGCTAGTCCTACACCTCGTGTTCCTTTTCGTGCCCCTGAGCCGCCCGCAGCCTCGGCCTCCGCTGTTGTGGATCCAGTAGACAAAGCAATGAACCTCCTAGTACGTGAATTGGGGTTTGCTGAAACCAGAGCGAGGAAGGCTCTTGCTATGTGTGATTCAGGCTCTGGAATTGATTTGCAGAAAGCCATTGAGTTGCTGACTGTTGACTCGAAAGATGCTCACCAAGAGAGCCCTTTGCCTGTGGAGCTGCCTACAACTGCGAGTCTCGTCAGTGCTAATAGGGCGATGAAGCCGCAGCTGTCAAAGACATACTGTGATGGCCATTGCCAGCGAATGCCGACCGTCTTGCATTCCCGGAATAGATCCACTGGCACTACAGGTACAGCTACTGATGTGTCTATCAGTCCAGTCTCGGCCCTTGCTGAAGGGGAATGGCATGATACAATTTCACCGCTTCTCAGCGCATCGACATTGACCCCTCGATCGAAGGGCCCTTTGACCTGGGGGCCAAGCAAGGCTAAAGCATGGAAAGTGCTGGGAATGGACGGCATCCCAAAACGGAAGAACTCAGTGCTTCATATTGAGGAATATCAAGCTAAAGTGGAAAGGCGAAAGAGCATGCGCGCCAACACCAATGGAGGACAGCAAAGTCCGAAGATCAAAGAGGGACTTGGCAAGAATTTGCTTGGACTGGGACTTGCTATTGGTAGCAGTGCTGGATCTAAATCGGTGGAAGCTCAACTTGAGCGTGTCCGTGACGAAGAGCGACGAAAAAAGGAGAAACACCATACCAGCTGCATGCCCAGGTATGCTTGAGTCCGCTTGTCACTCGTGGACCGAGCGCAACATTGAACGGAGTTCACCAGTGTTTCCCTGAGGTCAACATTGCGACCTCACATGCCTCTATTCCGGCCACATTTTTTACTTCTGCATATTGACCTCCGGCGTCGGAGGTTCAAAAGGGACATTTTGAAAATACTGCGCAGATTCGAAGAAAAGGGACGAATCATCCACTCATTTAGCGGAATATATGACGACATTCAAGGGGATATACTCCGTACATGGAATGAGACGACAGGCAAAAGGACATACGACACAAGGGACATGATATGAATTGGCAGGAATGCAACAATTGACGACCAACATATACAATTAGACACCGGATGAGATGCACTTCTCGGGCACCAAAGCGCCGGACCTGATGCGAAGTGGACACGATACCAAGTACATGTCTTTATTTGTTCATGGGTTTCTTCTTTTCCGGGTTTCTCCTGCCCGGTTCCAAGATTTCGCACTTTCATTTGGCGGCATTCACACCGCAGTTATGTTCACATACCCACTGGCCATATACTGGAGTTATCCTAAGCATATCATTTGTATGCTCTTCAAATACGAGAAATATGAACTTTCTAACAGTCCACGTGGAGGTCGTTTGCTCTGCGGACTTTTGACCTTTAACATCTCGCTTTGAGAATTCACACCCGCCGCTCGAGCCATGAGCCCGCCTCTTCCCGAGTAGACACGGACCTTGTCTCTTTAATCTTCGCCTAGAACGGCCTATAGCTGGACCTCTTTGGTGAAAAAGCAAACTAACCTGTTTCCAACCATACCGGTGGGAGGGGATATACCGGCGGGGCCAGAGCAGTGGTGGTACCAGCATCCATGCGTTACTGATCATGATCTTCACCTTGACGAAGACAAGCGGAGGCCCGAAGGGGTCGAGACTTTCATAAGGCCGAGTTCTCTCTCCGGCAAACTGGACGTTGGCGAGGTCTTGGCGTCTACTTGAGCTCCTTTCCGTCTCAATGCTTTCAAGGGTTGGGCCTTGGTTATGTGCACAGGGCTTTGAGGGAAAGGGTCGGGGTATTTTCGACAGTCGTTGGTTCGCTCACTTGCTCACTCCGCTCTTTGGATCTTCAATCAAAGATGAGCGAGTGGGGAGGGTGACAGAGCGTCTGGTGTAGAGGACGCAATGACGCCTTCTTCATGTATCGTATCGAATGGTATGTGTGAAATCTGAAGTGTTGTTGTTCCTTTCCTTCCTCCCCGATGTGTACATTCCTGTTTCGATGGCTCCGGGTCCGCATTTCGTTGTTTTCCTTTGGCGATCTCACTGTGTTTTCTTGTACGTCTGATCGACAGGGCGAACAGAGAGGCAGTGCTAGTGGAATGCCTTCCTTCTTCCGGCCAGAGTGTTTTTCTGTCCATTTCCCTTCTCGGCTGTCCACCGTTTCTAGAGGATCGAGCTCCCGATCGGATTTGCGTAGCGTCATGTGATATGAAGGGATGAGAGAGAGAGAGATGAGGTTCGGAGGGACAGAGTGATGGTTGGGTCGAAATTTTTCTTGCCGCGTTTGAGCAAGCAGTATGTCCTCTTCATGAGCTCCGGTACCGCGTCACGTCTTGTTGGCTAACTTTAGAAAGCTTGCATGAGGCCTTCTAAAGTCGTCGCTGTTTGGTCAATTCGCGCGGCACGACCCTCCCTATGCGAAGCTGTACTCCTTTCAAATGTGCAGTAGTGTTTTTGCCAAACTCAGAGTATCATGTCGTCAACCGAACGCAGTCTTCCCCTAGAGGCATGCTTCAATCCAGTGCAGCAAACAAACTCAAGTAAATGCCCCAGAATAATCCCACAACACTGGCCACTATCACTCGTTTGTTCACGGGCACGAGAGTGAAATTCATCAACGCCACGATGGGCCAGAGCTTCCAGCTGCTAATCATCAACGGGATAACATCTCTCTCCACTTCTCTTTGTACGGCTTTGGCAGACTTCCCCTTAAAGGCTGCCATGGCAGCGACAAAGGCGACTGTGTTCACAAATGCCCCCAATGTTTGGTCGAAGAGGAATTTACGTAACGTGTTGGGTATGTGGAGCTGTTTGTCGGCGGTCAGAGAGGAGGAGGTGGTAGATGGGGAGATTGGTGCGACAGTGTAGCCGGGAAATTTGTATTCGAGATATTCCTGCCAGAGGATGTTGGGCGGACAGGAGATGAGGGTGAAGATGACAAACTGCGCCAAGGGAGCGAGTCTGAGCGAGAAAGATTGTGATTCTCGGTAGGCTTTTATGCCTTGCGCAGCGAGGTTTGAGACGGCGGACAGGCACGCGGCTTGGAGCGTGGTAGTGATGAGATGGGAGACCATTGCGGCGAGGTGGTGCCGGCTTCCACACAGAGGATGGATTCCAAACGGTGAGGGAGGTGGAGAGAGAGAGAGAGAGAGAGAGGGATTTTCGAGTCACCTGGGGGTATATGATCTGTTTAACGAGCGTGGAGGAACCAGAGATATGGTGCTGGATCCGTACGGTGAGACCAGCACAATTTATTATTTCACATGCAAGTTGGCAGATCGTGGAGAAGGGACAATGAGATTGTGGAGAAGCGCAAGCAGTGCCCATTGATGGCCAGTGGTGGCCAAAGTACAGGGTACGGTGCAGCAAGGGCCGGAAACAGTCACTGCATGATCCCATCTATGCGGTGCCGTATATTATCACGTGGACTACGGAGGAGCAGACAGCCAGCCTGCCGAGCGGCCTGGTCTCCTGGTGGTCTCGGATGACAACGCATCCCACCCCGCCTAGCAGCTGAGTGTTGATGCCCGAAGTGAGGCGAATCATGGCTCTTTACCCTTTGCAGTGCCCGTTTGCTGCCATGAATAGTACCTCACCCTCGCGGCGAAGTACATGGGAAGGTGAAGAGGAACAGCTATCGCAAAGGGATCCCAGCCTCGCGGGCGCATGACAAGGATCAAGGTGGCTGCGTGTCCAATGGGTCGGGGACGATGGTGAGATTACGAGGTTGCAGGACGGACCAATCTCCTGTGACGGCCATGTGTGCGCGCCAGGCAAATAGAAGCCATGGGCAATGGCCCAGTCAGTGTGTTCAATAGGGCAGCAGAAGGTGTGCGCGGTGGTGTGTGTTGTCTCATGTAATTCGCCCCATTCGTCGCCCTGGTCGGTCGAGCGATGGCAGTCCGATTGGTTTGTCGGAAAGGCTTTGTTGACATGATGAAATTGAGATGGCGAGGCTCGAGCACAAAAAGACAGAAAACCAAAGACGGCTCTCCCATGGATCTCAGATCTGAACTTGTGCCGGGTGATTTTGACCTTTTGGCGACTTTGTGTGATTCAGCTGTACTAAGGAAGCAGGTTCCCCGCGCTTGCGCTGCAGCCGCAGGCACCGCAGGCACCGCAGGCACCGCAGGCGCAGCTGGTTCCCTTCCTCTCGCTCACCACCGAGTATGTAAATGGGAAATGCACCTTGAGTTTCCTTTTCCTCTCTCCACCCTTTCCCACTCCTTCCTCTTCCTCACCGACTCCCTATCCACGCTGCCCATCTCTCATCCGGTTTTCACTGCATCTGACACGGACCCGCCCCCTCGCGCGACCTTGACCGCTCCACTGACATCAATATCCCTCGTCACTCTGTCCGGCGCGACACCCGAAGTTGGCTGAGTGGTGGAGAGACCCGTCAAAACAACAGGAATCTTTCCACTAGTTTCTCTGCATCCTCGCCCGCGCCTCGCCCATTGCCTCTCGATACAATTGCCCATAACGCCTCCTCTCTCGTCTCTCGCCGTCCGGCTGCGCTGTTGTCAATCTTGTCCCCGTCGCGTCGGTGCGCACCTGTCTAGCCACCGCCGGCTTCCTCGAGGCACGAGGCGACTATGGAACAACAACAGAAGGCGGCTCCTCCGGTCTACGATCTTTCTCAAGGCGGCCACTATGGAGCCAGCGCCGCGGTAGGTGTTCATCGTCTTCCTTCCTTGGGATGGGAATCGAAGCCCGTCCTGCGCACAAGAGGAGGATGAGAATAGGGCCCGTTGTCACGGGCAGATTTGATGTGGTTCTGGATCAGCGACGTCCTGACACAAATTTTAGTTATCCGCTCAAGGCTATGTTCCCCATACTGAGTTGTACTCGGGACTGTGGTCAAACGTAAGTGATCGTCTACCCCGATGCGGTTGTGCAACCCCATGCTCATCGGTCTATAGATCAACCAAGGTCTAACCGGACCGTCGCGCGAGATTCTGGCAACCTATTGGCAACAAACTATCAATCATCTCGAAACCGACACCCACGACTTCAAAATCCATCAACTCCCCCTTGCTCGAATCAAGAAGGTCATGAAGGCGGATCCGGAAGTCAAGATGATCTCCGCCGAAGCTCCCATCCTCTTTGCCAAAGGATGTGATATATTCATCACAGAACTCACCATGCGTGCTTGGATCCATGCAGAGGACAACAAGAGAAGGACCCTGCAACGTAGTGACATTGCTGCCGCGCTCGCCAAGAGCGACATGTTCGACTTCCTAATCGACATTGTCCCACGAGAAGACAGCGCCGGTCACGGAAGCTCGAAACGGCCCAACACCAGCGGCCAAGCTGCGGCCGCTCAAGTTCCCCAACAACAAGCTCAACAACAAATGCCACCCCCAGACTATGGCATGCAACATGGTACGATGGGCCCTCCTGACAGCCAATACGGAAGGCCCCAAATGTATCCTGGTCATATGGGCGGTGACGCGCAGCAAGATCCCAGCCAAGGCTATGGCCAACCTCCGCAAATGTTCACTGGGAGTGACATGTACAATCCCTACGCCCAGGGACAGTTTGGCGGGACCGGCGCTCAACAGGTAGGTGACCCCTCGCAATAATCAATCTACCTATCTCGATAATCTGGATATACTCTTGCAAATCCAGAGCTCCCTGTAGCAGGCGCTGACTCAGCTTCTTTTCTCCAGATGTACTCGAATCTCCCAGGTCAAAGGCCACAAAGCCAAGGATATGGAGGTCCAAGGCCCGGCACCGCAGGTAGAGATCAGCAGGTCAATGAGCAAGGGTACGGTCCTGGCTAGGAGCCAGGTTCGGAAGCAAATCCGAAATCTGATACTCCAGAGCCCATCGTCGGCAGGAGGAAGAGAAAAATGAAAGAACTCTTCTTTGGAAAAACAGAAAATTGATACCACCACCGTTTGATGAAATTGTGTATTTTCGGATCGAAGACCATCGCGCTTTTGTCTCTCAGAAACAAAACATGCGAGCGCGCGGGTGACGGCAACAGCTCACCACCGAGGACGACGCCGAGCCAGGCAAAAAGACGGAACACATGACCCATGGGCTCCAGCACAGCACGGTCTCTAATGAAGTGCATTCGCAGCAGAAATGGCATTCTTTGGTTTTACAGTTCCCCAAATTTTGGTCTCTCCTCCTGCAGTCCTTGTTCCCTTTTGTCTGTGACTGTGTGTCAGGTTCCAATCCGTGAAGTGAGCGTGAGTAGTATGTGTGGGTCTACCTGATCGCGGCCAGGAATCAATGAGAAGAAACGAAACAGAGCCTCCTCCACGGCGTATCACTTTGGCTGATTCAACCCGCCTCAAACAAATAGATCCACAGCCCATAGCAGCCATGATGCTTGTCAGCAACAACCTCTGCAACGAAGAATAGAGTATCGTGTCTCTAGCTAGAAGGACCGGTCTTTTGTCGAGAGATGGCGCAATGCGACCTCAGAGAGCGCAGATTCGGGAGAAGGATTTGTGCCTGCTTTATAAAGCGAAAAGGGGTGGGAGAATATTGCTAAGCCAAACAAGCACGAAGGCCAGCGCGCTGTGGTCGATGGAGATCGAACATCATACATATATACACCGTATACACAGCGGACTTGCATTAGGCCATGCGCAGAAGGAACGCGTTTTGGATCCCAGGCGCAATCGTTGGCCTCGTCGAGAAAACAGAGAAGCAGGACAGGCAAGCAATAATGGTTTAAGATATGTACTCCGTATAATCTAATCGAGATCCGAATCCACTTCACCGCCCGCCATGCGACATGAAGCGGTTCTGCAGCGCCGCAAACGTATTCCCCCCTCTTGAACCCGTGCTCCCACTGTGCGCCAGTCCGGGGCTGTGGACCCCGTCCCTTCCACCCTCGCTATCAAAGTGTGCGTGCGCGGCGCCGCCCCTAGCAGACACTGACGACCTGATATCCACGTGGACGACCTTCTCCAACAACTGCGGGCCCTTGAGGGGGTCAACGTTGCGGTACTTTTTGTTGCGGAGGGAGATGTCGTAGAACTCGTCGGGCTGGTTAGTGCTCATCAGCGCGACTGTCTGGATCAGCTCGTCCAGCGACTCCAGCAGGATGCTGTTGTTCGGCAGGGTCTCCACGTAGGAGCGGAAGTGCTGGATGTCCATGTCCATCTGCGCGATGCACGCCGTCGTTATCCTGTCCACTTGCGGCGACAGGGGCAGGGAGAGGATGCTGGAGGCAGTGTATGAGATGGCGTTGAAGAGCATGAGATCTTTTAGTGACGACGGCAGAGAGAGCAGGACGCTGTTGATGATGTTGGACAAGTACCGCGTCAGGGTAAGGATGTAGTTCGACGGTTCAGTGGGCGGGTCGCGCGACAGCCAGTCGTACTCGGCAGTCTCGATCAGGTCGCTGACCTTGCTGTTGACGAGCTCGAAGATGCGGTTTTCGGCTGTCTTCTGGTGCGTGCTGAACTGCGCTGTCGCTTTGAGCGAGACTGGCGGGCCGACGTTCCCGCCGCCGTTGGGGGCGGAGGATGAAGAACGCGCGGTGGCAAGGAGGGTTTCGAGCTCGTGGCACGCGGTGGTGAAGTGGGAGAGGTTGATCAGAATCTGCACGATTTGACCCAGGTATTGCGACGAGAGCTTGGAAACTAGGCTGGCGCAGACCTTGGTGGTCAGGAGGTCGTCCAGCGAGGTGAGGAGTTGAGAATCGATCTTGGACGAGAGCGGTGAAGGCGCATTGTCCTCCTGCGCCGAAAAGAAGTAGAACTGGTTCAAGAAGTTGCGGATGTCGATGCAGCAGAGTGGATACATTTGTGAGAATGGGAAGACGGTCGGGAAAGTCATCTCCTGCACGGGGCGGTCGGGCGTGTACCAGGAGACATTGACGACCTTTTCGAACTCCTCGGCGTTCTGGATCGGCATGGGCATGTAATCGTCCGTGCTGACGATCTCGATAAAGTCTTCGCTGAACCGTTGCTTGAGGAGCTCGGCGTACTTGTCGAACAGGACCAGCACAAAATTCGACATGGCCGCGGTGTTGAAGTTGAAGCCGTTCATTGTCTGAATGAACAGGGAGATGAGGTTTTTGATCTTCAGCAAGTGTTCGGCGTTGTCCACCGCTGTCAGGGCCTTGGACATCAGCGAGATTGCCGTTTGGCAGAGTGAGTCCCACAGCTCTTCGACTTCAGTAGTGGAGCGTAGATCGGGGACTTTCTTCATGGTAGCGCGCTCCATGATGGCGAATCCCGCAATATCTTCCAGGAGAGTGTGGAGATCGCCCATCTCTTCATCAACGAGGGAGATGGAATTTTGAAGGAGAAGGTCGCGTTGAGCGCGACGACTGGCGGCATAGTCGGTCTTGAACTTTTCCATTTGACCGAGTGAGCGATAGATGTGCAGCGCCTCAAATAAGGGCGTAAAATCAACCTCGAGGTCTTCGCTTTTGAGCAGGTCGTATTCCTCGTGTTCGTCCGCCACCAGTTCAATGGCAGAGTTGAGCTTGAAGTTGGCAAGATATGGAGTCTTTTCGGATCTCTCCTTCAGACGCTGCTTGCGAAGGTCTGTATGGTAAAAGGACAGCTCCCCAAGGTATTGGGACATTTCTCGAACACGGAAGAGCCAGGTATTGAGGTCTGCCATGACAGCCTCAGCAATGGATTTCTGGGTCGCCGGCACCGATTTCTGAATCAGCTCGCTTAATTCATACTGGGTGACGCTCTGAAGATGGACGCTTTGCAACTCGTCCAGTGCTCGTAGAGCAGCATAGTGCTTCTTCTGGTCGCGGAGCTCCTGGACTTGGTTCGCCAGGCGAAGAACCTCGAGACAATCCTGCAGAGCGTGCCGGGCGTCTTCTATATTCTGTCTCACGCCTCGGGACTCGACTAGGGCTTTCTTCTGATCTACGAGCCGTTCAGTACTGGCTTGGATGGACTGGTTCAATTCGAGGATCTCGTTGGTGAGAGTGACGGTGCCTTCGCGGATCCGGAGCAACTGGTTGACAGACTTTACAAATTCCTGGTGGTTTGTGTTGCATTGGCGCTCAATCTCTGCCTCCCGTTCTCCGGCAAGGTCGGATAGCTGGCTCAGCAAGTGGGCAGTCTTGTTGCCATAGCTGTAGTCCTTGATGTATGGAATCAATTGATCGAGGGTGTCCGCTTCTGATGAAGAGGTGACGATCTTAGTGATGGTGTCAGCCTGGGGTCGTGAGATGGAGAGGTCACGTATACCTGCTGAAGCACATTGTTCATGTCATTTCTGTATGGCGCTATTGACGGCATTGTCCCAAGTACAATCCTGTCCGCGAAGGAGGGCCTAGTTCACTGTGCAAACCACGTCCCAATGTCTGAATTCCTGATTCCGCCTTCGCGTCACTGTCGGTTAGACGGGGCTCATCCACGGCAGGGCAGGAAAATGCTGATCAAACAAAGTAAGCTGGAGAAATTTGGAGCAAATCACAATAAATTTGTCTGGTATCAAGCATCCAGTCTGGTCCTTGCAACAGTGCAACAGAAAGGGATAGTATGATGGGTTCTGCATTCTCTCTCGCATAGCAGCGAGGTGTCAGGACGTTTCAGAAACCACGCTAACGCCTTGAGGTTAGCGTAATGGCCAAGACATTAGCGCTGTCGATCCTTCAACCTCGCAACTTCAATTGTTTGGGGTTTCCTTTCTCTTCCCAACATCACCTCCATGTCATCCTGATGATCTTCCTCTTTGGCAAGCCCGGGCACTGCGGAAGCTAACTGCGAGGGCTGTGAGAGTCAAGGAGCTCGCTGGCGAGGTAGAGCTTTCAGAAGCGCAGTTTAAGAGCGGACATGTCTGCAGAGTGTCGGGCTTGTCTGGAGGCCAAACAACAGGCTAAAGGGAGAGAAGAAACGTCGCAACTGCCCGATGATAAAGAATGTCAGCGGATCTGCACTGCCGGTGCTGGAGGCAGGCGAGCAAGAAGACAACGAGACAACGAGAAGAATGTGAAAGAGCTAAATGCAGAGAAACGTGAACTGCTGGAGGGAGAGCTTGTGTCCTCTCTTCGGCCCTCAAAGGCAGGTTCAATGTTCACCGACGGTGAATCCGCTAGCCCAGCTGTTGACCGAGCTTGTCGGGACTGTGCAAGCCAAGAGGATGGCGATGATGTCGCCGGGAATGTCGCCGGTGACGTCGCATGAAATGTGAGGCGCGAAGTGAGAGCGCAGGTAGGAGTTTGGCCTCACTTTGCCCACGTCGAAAACACGCCCCTTACCGGAGGTTCGGGGTCGCCACGCATACAAATTGTCTGGCCAGAGCTACGCAGCGTGCGGCTGGAATCGTGCAAACCATTTGCAAATCCCCCTCGCCGGTGAGGCTCGCCAACTCTCACTTGCTCCCAACCGCTCGATCGTCCAGCCGACTGTGTATTCAGTCATTCAAGTCGCCTGTCGTCGTTTGAAGCGATCTATTCCCGTTGTGGCCGTTTCCCAGCCGCTCCTTCCCACGAATTTTCTCTTCTCTTCTTTTTCAAAACACACCTCACTTTTCATCCCCTCTCTCTCTCTCTCTCTCACGTTCCTTTACCATCCTCACACTCCTTCTGCACCCATTCAATCCCTCGAATCTTGTTGGTATTCGTTCTCACTCATCACATTCTTTACCACACCACACTCCATTGATTTCAGAACCTACACAAGCTCAAAAACATCACATCTGGTGAGTCTACCCAGTGCCCTGAACTCACTTCTCTCGCAGGAGAAGCGAGTTGGACATTCTCAATGGCGCCTTGATCTTCATGCCCTGCCTGCCCTGCCCACATCCTCATATGAGAGATCCTGTGACATTGGCTTTGATGACCTGCCCGCTCTTGCTGGCTCCATTGGACACCATATTCACCTACGCACTTGAGCACATGCTAACTGCCATTAAAGGTCATGTCTCCGCCACGTGGTGTAGTCATGGCTTCCTCCCCCCACTCCACGGATGAGAACACCAACCACGGAACTCCATCCACCAACCTCACTGCCTTCACCCCTGAGGCCGACTTCGGGTCCAAGGGTCGTGTCCCAGGCTTTGTCCATCCTGTCTCGAAGCTTCGGCCGGCTAAGCCCAAGCATGCCAGGTAAGTATACCAAACTGGCTCTCGCTCTCTGTCTCTGCCTACCAAACGCGTCTCAAACGTTCTCTGACTTGACCTCAGTGTCTGCGACGACTCCCAAGAGGACGTCTTCCTTACCGCCCCTGTCGCTGCCAAAGGTCCACAGCTCTCTCCCACTGCTGAGGTCTTTACCCCAAGATTGTCCGCCGGCTTCATGAACAATGGCGGCCCGGCGCAGGTTGGATACATTGACCGTGCTCATGACAATATCGGAGTAAGACACTCTCTTCACAGCCGTGTAACTACCTAGTACGCTAACAGCCCGGCAGACTCGTTTGCCTGCTAAGTTCGCATACTTCCCGGTGAACGTCCCCGGAGCTCCGCGTTCTGCTCAAGTCCCTGCCGTTGATCCTAATGCCCTTCGCTATGGTTTCGGCCTTCTTACGCTGGATCAGACCCCTCACAAACCTGTGGCTGGGATCTACCTACATGACTTCAACATCACTGAAGGCGTCTTCACCATGAATGAGAAAAGCATCTCTCGTTCCTTCGCCGTTACAGGTGTCCCACTTTCATTCGGATCAAAGATCATCAGCCGCCACTTCCCGGTAATTCGTCCCACGTCTCTCTTTCCATCTTCATATACTGACACCTTCAGCCCGAGTTGTTCCCAAGCATCAGAGGCATCAATTCTACAGACTTCGAACCCAGTGGTCTCTTCTCGTTGTCTTGCGATGATATTCGCGACGCCAAACGCGCTGCCGATGTCGCACATGCCATCTTGCCATACAGCTATATCTTCCCTCTCACGGCAAAGATGTACGCGTCTGACAACGGCCGGGATCCAGATCTGGTCACTGATCATGAAGGAGAAATCATCATCAACATCTACTACCACGGTCACGCGACTGCGCCACCGGTTGAAGCAGCTCCCGTCCTGGCTGAGATCAAGCGTCTTCTTGCGCAATGCGGCGATGTCAAGGCTTTCCACACCAGCCCTGCTACTCAGACTCATCTCCGAGAGATCCGTGTCGAGTTCTACAACGCCAGCCTCGTTCACGTTGCCAGGGATGTCATCCGTGGAACCATCATTCATGTATGTCATGTACCCGCCACCAAGTCTTGTTGCTAACATATCGCAGGGAGCTGTTCTCGATGTCATCGCATTGCAGCCTGACGTTCGTGTTGTTTCTGAGTTCGACGAGGAACACCACGAGCAGCTTTCCGTCACTGGTCGCTCCAGAGTTCCCTTCGACCCAGACTATGATCGTATTGCCTTCGCGATCCAGCGTGATGGTCTTCGTAACGGTCGTCGCCTCAACCAGGCCATGAACCATAACGCCGTCGACATCAGCCGCATCCAGGCGGGCCTTGATGTTCGCACCACTGTCTGTTTCTCTCCTCTTCACGCTCTTTGCTGTATCCCGACTAACAACATGTTCAGATCATGCTCCGCAATATCCCTAATCGCGTTGATCAAGCCATGTTGAAGAATCTCCTCGATGTCACGAGCCGTGGCCGGTATGACTTCATGTACCTTCGCATTGGTAAGTGAAAAGACCATCAACTCGCCATGCCAGGAATACTCACCGACTCCATTCAGATTTCGCAAACAATTGTAACGTCGGATACGCATTCATCAACTTCGTCGACGTCAGTCTGCTCCTTCCTCGAGCCAATGTCTTTGCTAACTCTGTTCCAGGCTCAGTCAATTATCCCCGTTCGTGATCATTCCCTACCATCCTTCCTCTCACTTACATGTCTAGTTTGTCCTTGCTCGGGCTGGCAAGCGCTGGAATTGCTTCGCCTCAGACAAGATTGCCGAGGTCTCTTATGCCAGTGAGGATCGCTCTTCCATACCTTCACTACAACTTGCTCACTACTATCCGTAGCCATTCAAGGCAAGGATTGCCTTGTTCAGAAGTTCCGCAACTCTTCCGTCATGCTCGAGCATCCTGCCTTTCGTCCCAAGGTAAGTCGGCTCTCGCCATGCCTTGATTTTCAGTGCTAATCACCTCTAGCTCTTCGTTGCTGGCAACGTTCCCAATGCAGGCCAGGAAGAGAAGTTCCCTGAACCCGACAACCACTCCAAGATGCGTCGTTCAGTCGAGAATGCCGAGCATGTTGGTTTGTACCTCCCTCATTTCCGTCCCGGCTGGTTTCGTGAGCGATTCGCTGCTGGTGATCGTTTCCGTCGTCGTCAACCATTGCGTCGCCCTGGAAAGTTCAACGTTGATGGGGCTCGCCGCCGCGGTGTCTACTTGCCACCTGCTCGTGCCACCAAGTCCGAAGTGAAGGGTCCCCAGGATTTCGCAGCGAACCCGTCACCACCACGTCGCTCACCACCACGCCGCTCACCACCACGTCACTCACCACCCCATCGCCGTATGCCGTTCGTGATTGACACCCGCAGCCCTTATGACCCGTTTGCCGGTTGTCCCCGCGCTTTTCCGTGAGCATACTTATTCTTATCTGGTGTATGACATCAGTGTACTAACTGTGCTTCCTCGATAGGACTTTTCGCCCCTAGACAAGGCCAGGTGTACCGCGAAGAACAGCGCCGTCGCCGTTCTCAATTCGACCGAGGCACCCCCGGTGCTGAGAATGAGTTGGGTGTTGCACCTCGCTATCGTCTCCAAGATCCTGCGCTTGAACACATTGGCAATCTTCATCTTCCACGCTATTAGCACTGCATGATCGTGGCGCTGGACGTCTTACGATGTTTCAGGTCACTCCGGGTTGGTATCATGGTCCGTTGGTCGTCAATACCTGTGGTCTGTCGGCTTGGATTGTCCTCCTGCTTAACTTACGGAAGGGAATTGTGTCACTTGGTCTTTTGAGATCAAGTTGGTCTCAACCTGGACAACAAGCAAAGAGCGGCTGGACAACCTCCCCCTGCATCACGTCATCACTGTCATTGCGTCCCTCGTGGCCCCCTGTGTTATTACACAGGTTTGGCCCCCTAATACTTGCAACTTTTCTTTTCTTTTCTTTTTTTTTCTTTCTCTTCTCTTGAAAAAAAATGTGAGCAAGGTCTTCTATGAAATCAATGTACGGCGGTTAAGATGGGATGGAGCTTGGGCTTTACTGAAGACAAATCATGTACCATCAATACAGCGTGTACTGATCACTCATAGTGATCTCATAGCTTACAATCAAAATGGATTTCACCCACTCTCCTTGTTCAAGTTCGTCGTTTGTTGTTGCGGTTGTTGATCGCTGGCGCAAGAGGCGATGTTGGCGGTCAGGTGAGTGCCGCAGTCAATTTGTCCCGAAACTGACGCCGATGACAGGCCTGTTTTCTCGGTATTCACAAAACCCCTCAGAACGCGCCGTGAACTCTCCGTCGACGCCAGCCGGCACTGCTTGACACGGATACCTTCCGCTAGCACAATGGAGAGCTGACGCTCGTGAATTACGGCCTGCATTGACCCAGAGCGGTCTACGCCACGTGCCGACGAGAGCTGACTGACTCCCATCGTGCCGGCAGGGGGCTATCCTTGTTGGTGAGGAGCAGCTTCTCCGGCGCGGTGTGCATAGACAATGTCGGACTTCGCGAGCCTGAGGGGCAGGTTCCGAGCAGTTCCCAAAAAAAACTTGCAAGAGTCTACGGGTTGCAAAGTGACCAAGAGACCCCGAGAGTCGCATGTGTGCACTCAATGCAAAAGGGCCAAGTTGAAATGTGACCGCAGTCAGCCATGCGGAAGCTGCGTGAAACGAGGCGACGCTGCCATCTGCAACTACCTGCGGGTGTCAAGCAACGCCATGCGTGGCGGTGACATCCACGGCAATCGTCACTCGGTGGCTGAAGACAGACTCCTACATTTGGAATCGCTCGTCAAGCTGCTGATGGAAAATCAAGCCTCGGCGCAGGCAGGCAAGGACGCAGCACTCACAAACCTGGCAACGCCGTTGGTTGGACCCTCTGAGGCGCAGCATGAGGAAACCAACTTGGCAAGCTATGTCGGGTGGACACATTGGTCGGCGATACTGGATGATATTCACGAACTGAAGGCGGCCTTGAGCAGCGCAGCTCATGGTCAGGAAGGGGGTGATGGTAACACCCTGTCAGAATCTTTGGCCACCCCGAACAGCCGCCACGAGCCCATATTTGGACTCTCAGGCAACTATTCCCTCGCACAGGTCCTATCGCAATATCTTCCTCCGAAGCACGAAGTTGATCGGCTGCTCGCCATCTATTTCCAAGGAGAAACTTTCATCGTTCCATTTATTCATACCTACCAGTTCCAGCGCCAGTATCGAGCTTTCTGGAGCGGGATGACCAGTGTCAATCCCCTTTGGCTTTCCGTGTTGTTTTCAATTTGCTGCATAGCTGCTTCCATCAAGGCGGCACATGGCCCTTCCGCGACGAATATCCCGATGACCATCGCCAGCTCCAACCTCCATACAGCCGCAGGGCAATGTCTAGTTCTCGGAGAATACTACCGACCGCAGCCATTAACGGTGGAGGCACTCGGCTTATACGCGCAATACAAGAACCTCAAAAGCCTCGACCCCTCTCGTGAAGCCGGAGCTATCCTGGGGGTGGTTGTGCGCATGGCCTATGAGATGGGCTACCATCGGGATCCTGACTCATTTGGCTCATTCACCGCTTTTGAGGGTGAGATGCGCCGACGCTTTTGGTCCGCATGCAAGCAGATGGATCTCATGATCTCCTTTCAGCTTGGCCTTCCGAGCACCATCCGCCTGGAGAACTGTGACACCAAGTCACCGAGAAACCTTATGGATTCGGATTTCGACGAAACCACAAATGTACTGCCCCCTTCCCGTCCCGAGAACGAAACAACAAGACTCCTCTGGTTTATTGTCAAGGACAGGCAAATGTCTGGTTTCGGAAAGGTATACCAGGATGCTCTGTCCTTCAGAGAGAAGACCGAGACCGAGGTCCTCCAACTCGACCAGGAAATTCAACAAATGTACGAGACAATCCCCGAAGTCCTGAGGACACGACCTCTCTCGGAGTCGATTATGGATTCCCCATTTGTCATCATGACAAGACTCTACATAGATTTTATTTATCTGAAGAGCCTTTTGGTTCTCCATCGGCGATACATGGCACGCGGCAACTTGTCGAGCACTCAGTCCTGTGTGAGCGCTGGGACACGTCTCGTCGGTCAATTCATTGCCATGTACAAGGAGATTGCACCTGGTGGTCTCCTGCATACCGAGCGGTGGATGTTGACAAATTTTACGATGAATGATTTCCTGCTCGGGGTCATGGTGCTCTGCCTAATCATCCACATTCGGCGCAAGCATATGGCCGGGAGTGTTCCATCATTCATCGACGCCCCTACAGAGGCCGAGGTCATTGCCCTCCTAGAGCAGGCCGCGGTCATCTGTATCGAGAAGTCCAGTCTGAGTCAAGATGCAAAACAGGTGTCAGTTGCTATCCGTCTCGTGTTGGATAGCACCACATCTTTGAACATGCCCAACGCTAACGAGGCTTTCCCCCCCTACGGCAAACAGTCCAACATTGCTGGCAGTTCACGGGACGTTGACCTAGCGCCTTTACCGTTGCAACCCCAGGAGGAGCAGCGCTACCCCTTAGGGAACCAAGAACTGTCCTTTGGACTTCTTGATCCCTTCAATTTCATGCATGATGATTTTGAGAGGATGGATTGGATGGCATTTGACTCGCAGATAACAGGTCGAGACGGTCCACCAACATATCTGAGCGAGTTTCAAACAGGGTAAGGAATGTGACTCGCCTTCTCTCCTCGAGCCGCTACTCCCTTTGAGGATTTCATAGGTGTACAGTGTCTGCTGTGGGCGGCGCACACTGAGGTTCGTTCGTCCACCTCCAACTATCACCAAGGCTGGATCCCTTCTTTCCTTACCACTGATCCGACATCTTCATCCCTTCTTCCCTCGACCACATCCCTCACCACACCCGCTCCGACACTCGGATCCAACGCACCCATCTGCCTCAACAACTCTGGGTTCCCCAGACCGAGCCCCGTCGCCAACATGCCCGGACTCACACACCACACCTTGACACCATCCTCCTTCAGCACCCTGACCCACTCGCGCATCATCATGTTCAATCCGGTCTTACTCGCCCTGTATGCCGGAATTCCCATTCCGGCGAAGACGCCGCCATCTTTCGGCCAACCTTTGTCCGTGGGCGAGTGGTTGATTCTCACCGCGGGGTTCGTACTCTCCGCGAGAGTGGAGGTACCGCTTGTGATAAAAAGCAGTCGGGGGTCTGAAGATTTCAATAAGAGTGGCATGAGTGTGTATGTGAGGATGTAAGTTCCTGTCACGTTGACATCCCAGGATTTGTTCCACATCTGACGCATAGTGAGGTCACCGGAGGAGAATTGCTGGTCGAACTGGCCGCCTGTGGCCACACAAAGAAGTGGAACAGTCAGCCTTTTATTTGGTCTTGGATCGAGGTTGATGGAACAATATCATGGGACGGAATCGTTACCAGCATTGTTCACCAGCACATCTAGCCTCCCATGATTCTTCTCAACATTTCCGAATAAAGTCTTGATGGACTGGTCATCCTCGATATCGATCTGGACAGGGGTCACCACACTCTGACTTTGGGGAAAGTCCACCTTGACCTGCTTCGCAGCAGCAGTTGCTTTCTCCAAACTGCGCCCGCCGAGGAGGATGGTGTATGTCTTCTTTTCGGAAGATTGAAGCAAAGACTTGACAGTCTCGAGACCTAAACCCGTGTTTGCGCCTGTTATCAGGACGATGGTGTCGGTTGCCATGGCTGTGGCGGTGACCGATGACTAATGATGATGATGATGATGATGATGATGATGATGATGATGTTGATGTTGATGTTGTTGTTGTTGTTGTTGTTGTTGTTGTTGTTGTTGTTGTTGTTGTTGTTGTTGTTGTTGTTGTTGTTGTTGTTGTTGTTGTTGTTGTTGTTG